GCTCTGCCCTTCAATTAACCCCACATGTGTTTATCAGCCAGGTTGGAACAATAAACCTTAACTCACTCAGGGTAAAGTACAGGGTTAGAGAAAAATCAAAATGGAGATGGATGGACACACGGGCTGTAACAATGGGCTCAAACATCACCACGGCGAGGGTGGCGCAGGGCCAGGCCGTGCTTCCCACTGTATCACATAAGGTGGTGAGGAGCCAAAGCACCCAAACCAACAAGGTCCCCTGGGCTGCTGATGTTGCTGGTTCGGGGATCCCACCTTGAGGTCTCTGAATAGTCAACCAGTGTCTGTCTGTCTCCCTCGCTCTGCCTGACCCATACACACAAAGATTTGATAGACCACTTGCTTGCATCCGGGCTCACAGTTTCCTCCCCTGAGAAGCGGCTCTCTCATCTCTTCTTCAAAGGTACAGTGTGATCTAAAAATAAACAGCAGGGCCAAAGTAAAGCCAAACTAGGCTTTACAATCTGCCCATTATGTGACTCTCGCTTGCTTCCTCTCTACCACTAGCACTGCGGAAAGTGTGGCCACTTCACTTTGTGCTACATGTATTACATCTGGGAACAGCTGTTCCCCTATCCACCAAGGGGTGGGGGGGGGTGTGCGGCTTATCATGCACCACATCCTGCAAACATTGTCCCGGAGATACTGGGCAGGAAGTGATTAAACAGTATCTCCTGAAGCTTCAGGTCCCTGGGAGGATGTTTAATGGTGTAATACAGGAAGTGGGAATGAGGCCCAGACAAGCCAATCCATTTTCAGCTCACACACTCTTAAGCTGAAAGAGACTCCCCTCGCTAACTGAGGCTTAAAATTCACTCTCAGTTGCCGAAGTTTGCAAGAAATGCTGGTCCCTCAGGAAGAAATAACAAAAAACTACACCATCAGACAATGCATTTGCTGTGGTGAGGTGCATCCGAGAGCCGTAAATTTTCCAGCCATTTTTGTTAACAAATGAAGCCGCTGGCCTGTAATTTACATGTTGGAAGGGAGCAGATACATCCACAGAAACCACGTGATAAGACTCCACCTGGAACGGCGTTTCAAGCAGAATGCAGGTAAAAATAAAAATGTGCAATGCACTTACTGAATCAAGGAAGCAGAACAGCCCAAAAGAATCTTTCAAAGGCAAGAGGAGGGTGGTTCATGCTGAAAAGAACCTATAAATCCTGAACGCATAAATCAGAGAAGTCAAAGTCGGCGGAGGCACACCAGGGATGCAGAACTAGACCTTGATGTCAAACCATCACAGTCTGTCCTTGATCATGATGAAACCATGTGAGCACAGGCACAGTCTACAAGTTCTTCTCCCCAGAGCAGCTCCATTCTTAACAAATTCACCTGTCATCTTCCTGCAAGAGTGAAAGAAATGTATACATAACGGGGCTTAAATGCCCTCTGCTTAGTTGTTAAGAATCCAGGAGTAGACAAAATGAGGTCAAGAGGCCTGCTTTTAAGAGCGCTGCCTATATGGGGTTTGTAGCTGTCTCTTGCTGAAAACACGCAAAAACTACCTTGAGTACTAATTTACATGAAGTATAATTAACTACAACATCAACACAACAGGTATTTTTCTTAAATGAATTCACTGAGACAGGAAACTGGTAAATCCTATTCCATCTCTGTGACCACACCCTTGATTTTGTAAGGATGGTTGAGATAGATTTGTTTCCATGTCTATAGTTTAGCTCCTGTGGAGAAAGCCGAGGCTTTCTATTCCTATAAAGAGTTACAGTCTCGGAAACCCCCAGGGGCAGTTCTACCCTGTCCTCTAGAGTCTGAGTCAGAATCAACATGATGGCTGTGTGTGTGTGTGTGTGAGAGAGAGAGAGAGATGGACATGTTCCTAGTACCCATGATGCCAAGGACTATCTTGCCCGCCAGGAAGCCTTAGACCATTCCCTGGGAGTGGACACCCTCAAGAATCAGTAAAACAACCAACAGACTCTTTTCTCAGTCTTCAGATGGGCTGGTTAATAGTTTTTTCTTTTAGTATTTCCAGTTCTTCCTTAAGATTCTGCTCTACAATGCCTACTGCCTCCCCTGGGAAGGCTCCACGGCTGGTTGTGATTCACCAACTGAGAAGCAGACTTATTCAAGGCTTGCCTGCTCACTTATTAAAGGCTTGCCTGCTCATTTAATGTTAGCTATCAACTAGGATCAGATGGACCTGGCAGCCAGAACCTCTCTGGGGGACCTCTTCCCATGGCTGCTTGGACTTTGTCACACATGGAGCTGGGTTCCAAGCATGGACATTACAGGAAAACCAAGCAAAAAAGCAAACTTACTTTTCGTGACTTGGCTTCAGAAAGGACATATCCCCAAGCTCTGTCTGAAGTGGCCTCCCAGACAAGAAACGCGACACAGAGACTCAAGTAGAGCAATGTTGAGACTGTGGGGTACCTTCTCCTCATCTGGCCATACACGGTGTTACTGTGGGACACAGTGACAGACAGGCTGGCATCATGACCCATGGAGGTAAAGGCCAAGGGACCACATGGCTGAGAGACCAAGAACTGGAGAGAGATTCGGCTGCCACCAGCTGAGGTGATGTGTCGGTGTGAATCAATAACTGTATCCTTCCTGGTTGCTGATCCTGATCTGTGATACGCGATTAACTTCCCTAATAAACCCCTTAAATCATGAGTATTGTCTGTGAGTT